ACTAATATATTTCTGTAATAACATTCTTTGTGTTGTTCAGTCTTCAAAGTATCCATAGGACCATGATAAGACGAAGATGTGATCCAGGTTAGATGCTGACTGCGAGGTGTGACTTCGATGTTAGCTGTTGGTCACATCATTCCCATCTAACTCGAGTAGACCCCCAATCATTCGACAAAGATCATCAACGTTGATGATCTACACTACTATAGGAAGTTCTCGTAAATATTCTGTTATAAAAAACAGTTTCAAAATTATAGAGACCACTTCATTCATTTAAAAAGTACATGGTAGATAGATCTATTTCATAAAAACTTATTACTGAATTAAATTCGTTTACATAGCATTGTAATAAAATCAATATTTCAGTAGACATAATACTCGAATTTTCAATTTATTGTAATTCTGAAAGAGTATATGCAATCTAATCTCAATCTGACTTATCTATATTCACCGCAAAATAGTAGATATTTGAAGTTTTTTGGTTTTCTTAGAAACAATTCATAGGATCGCTGTTTTCCAGTATTATGATTACTATGGACAGGAATTCTGATATTATTCTAAACATAAATTTAAATGTAACATCATAAAAAAGTTATCTAGGGAATTTGTGATTTTATTTGACAACAAAAGCACCACTGTGCTTCATAATGGAATTATTGAAGGACGATAATATTGGGAAATTTTCAAAATTTGGCTATAATTTGATGAAATAGTTTTATAACTACTAGGCACCAAATAAAGACCGATAATAGAAACTGGGTAAATAAACTTTATTTTATCAAGACAATATCCATCCAACAACCAGTAGTCGATTAACTGATATTTTTCTTAGGACTGTTATTCATGGTTTCAACTAACTTAGATTTTAAGTCACACTTGTTTCAATATTGATATGTTTGGTGTTGTTATGCATTTATGAATGAAACCTCATAATGAAGAATGTTGGTGAGAGTTCTTCAACCTTGGCTTATCTGTTAATTGATTTTGAGTGTCTCTAGATTTCAGTAATTATGATCAAACAACTCGGTGAGTACCAGAGTGAAAGTCAACTCTGAGATGCAGGTACATCTAACTGACGAGTCCCAAATAGGACGAAACGGGCTTCCTGGATTCCACTGCTAGCCACTATCCATCTTTGCTTATAAAAGCTTATTAATTAAGGCAATATCGAGGCATACGCATAGTATGCACATATGCCGATAAAAGACTGGTCAATTGCAGTCTTAACCCTCAATGGGAAGATACAAGCAAAACAATACCAAGTGAACTCGGTGAGTAGTTTTCAGCCCGTAACACATTGTTCTAAAATCAACAAATTTATAGTGTTTGGACATAATGATGACTACCTTATAAACCATTATGTGTTTAGTTCCGATTTCGACATAATACATACAGTTGAGATCTCTGGTTCTATCAAGTCGTGACTTCTTTAGTACATACTGGGTAGTTCTGGAAATTACCTGTTCTCGCATTACATTATGTACTGTAAATGCTATGAAGTATTTGAAAGTCCTGATTTCCATCATTTGATCCAGTCTAAACCTATCTAGAATAATCTGTTTAAAGCATATTAAGATTAAATGCTACTCGCCTTGTTGCGTCCACCACACATTAAAACATCCGGATCTTGTGAAAATCGATAATTACAAGTAAACTCATCTAGTCAGGAGTCATAACATCAGTTGCCGAGATCATAATTATACATCTGTGTCATAAGAAAGGCTTGATAACACGGAAATATTCATCGAATCACAGTTAATTACATGCTGGTTAACTTGTTAAGGTTTCTTTTACTTCTTGGTTCACTAGTTCAATGATCCCTGATTCTTGATATAAACCAGGCTTTGCATTGTACAATGTTGACTCTTATCTATGCTCTTTAAATAATGGTTTATGTGGAAATTCAGATCATTGCAAGTAATTTAGTTTCACCAACCAGATGAGCATAAACTTCCTTTTTGATATGAGAAAATATTTGAATTTGAAAGTTCTGCATTTGCTGTCAAAAGGGACCATTCACATCCTTGACTAAAAAATGATTCACATGCCTCATAGTGTGTGTATAGTTATTATTTAAGAGCCTTTCGAACACATGTCGTGACACTAAAATCTTAACATCTGTGTGGCTCCAAAGATTTATTTACAACGAGCACTTATAAAAGAGTTCCTTATCTCGTCAGAAAACCTTTGTCTATTTTCACTCATATCAATGACATAAAAACCAATTAACATCAATATGATTCACAAAACCTTCAAAGATTCCCAGCACTACTAGAGAAGTTGAGTTGAGGTTTAAGGATGCAAACGTTGTAACATCAAAGCGTTTGAAAGCTTGGTCTACTATCTTTAATGAGCGGAAAAACCGGAATGTTTTCTATCACCTCTAAACGGGTTATTAAGTAATTGTAAAAAATCATCGAACTCGTCCACAGATATTAAAAATGTTGGGAGGAAGTCGTGATTCTTTCCACGACTTTTGCACAGAATACGCCTTTAATTTTTATATGTATTTGACAGTCACTGCTGTTAAATAGCTGATGCGTTTCGACTAATTTGCTTGTCATAAGTCCATTTACATTTATGCCAGGAATTTCATAGGAAGCGATGATACCATTGTAACGGGATGAGAACGCTGAAAATCCCTCCACAGAATTTCGTTGGACAGTACTGTCGTTTATTAGTTTCTTCTCCCTGTCGTGTATTTTAACCCTTGTTCAGGTCTATTTTGACCACACTTTGTTCCTCAGTCTTCTTTGTCTGAACTTTTATTGTGTAATTCTGATTAAAGGCTCACCTTTTGTTACCTAATTTTCTATTACATGTTGCCAGATTATTGACAGTAAGGTCGTATTTGACTAAGCTCAAGGTCATGGCGTGGTCCGGTGTGTGACTGTTAACCTATGACTGTCTGCTTGGGAATATTGCCGGAATCCCTGCAAACAGGTATCTGATCCCATCTTGTTAGAAATATTTTTATAGATCCTCAGGTATTGAATTCTTTTTTATTAATTGTTTCTTTTGTTGTTTAGTATGCTAATTGGTGTAAGAGAAACTTTTGACTGTATAGCACAGGCTGTACTATTTGAGGTATTTTGTATTTAGATATAATTTATTCTACTTTCTAAATGAAAACCGTTTAAATTGAGCACAGAGTTTGTATTTTGATATAATTTAATACGAGTAACTGAAAAACGCTACGTACGCTATACAGAAGACCGTGGTCTGGTCTAATCGAATAAATTTTGGTTCGTTAGTTCTGCGTTCAAATCAAATATTGACAGTTCGGCCGTTACGACCATAAACGTGAAGAAGTCTACTTGTATAGTCACGTTCATATCAGCTTATGTGTACTAATAAACTAAATAAGCTATTAATATCGGCTCCTGATATAGATTCTTTCATTTCAGTGGTGATAACAAGCCATGAGAACAGCACAAACACTAAGACAATGGACTGTTCGCTGGAAGTTCGGACTTTTTTGTTCCGTTTGATGATTTTTGCTTTATGCCATTGACCGAGTTACCACCTCATCCAGACAACACTTTGGGCTTGACACTGAATTGTACTTCCTTGTCTACTCGGAAGTCTGTTCTATACGTAAACGAAGCAGACGAGGGGAAAGTCATCGAATGACAATATTGAGTGGTAGTCCCGATTCTTCAGCCTCCAACACTGTTAGGAAATTCTGCAGCGGTTCCATACACCCAATCCATTTATCCGTACTATTGATGACACCGTTAAACCTGGGTGAAAATATTTGGGCATCCACGAGTGCTGTGTCTTGAGTCGTCTTCTATGTGTTATCAGTCTTGTGTCCCTGTGGTGTTTGAATGAACTAATGATACCTTCGTACTTTTTGAATGCTTGATTTGGAATTCTAAATACAGTACATTCGTTCGTGGTTATCTAGTAGTTCTTGGTCCGATTACGTTATTTCTGGGATTCTTAGTTCATACTATAATTCAAATAATTCTTATTGTCATATTGGCGTCACGATGGAGCCTGTGATGGGATCGTTGGATATACATTCAGATCTTAATCCTTTTGAGGATTACTTTGAAAGGTTCGAAATTTGGGCTATAACCAAGGAAGATGATGAGGATATTAATATTGTAGCACATTTCCTCACATTCATCGGAAAAGAAGCACATAGATTATTAAAAACTCTGGCTTTACCGGAAAAGCCCATTTCGCTTCCTTGTACAACTCTCAAGGATCTACTGCTAGACTATGTTAATTATACAAATTTCGATTGCGGTAAAGGGAGATTTCGTAAAATGATTTGTGGTGGTCGGTATCCGATATAATCCTTAACTTCGTATACAATTCGTCTTGCTAACCGTTCTGTATAACGCCCCAACCGTATAATAATCAGAAGGCAAATACGAAGTGTTGATTACGTTTATTGCGAGACCACACACATATATCCAAATGTACAAATGCGTTAAATAAGCATAGAAGAGTTGTGCCGAAAGGCAAGCAAGCGAGCGATGGCCAGAGCAAGAGCGTGATGAGAGCGTGTGAGCGAATGAGTGAGTAAGCGAGTGAGTGTTCAATATGAATAACATGGACATATATATACCATGTGAAATGAATGGGTAATCGAATCGAATAAGCGGTTAGTAGTAAGACTAGCAGAGTGAATAAATGCGTAGGCAGTAATCAATATTCAAGCATGCGTATTTCATGCAAGCACAAAATAATAAGGGTACAATAAATTGTTATAGTACGGATGGCTTTGTCCGCTAAATAAGTTAGCAAAAGGGCTTAACTGAGTTAAATGAGAATAAACCCATTTGCACGTGAGTCGCTATAATAGCTCCCCCCTGCAAACAAAGATATATGGAAAATGTCTGTGTTTGCACACAAAAAATAGTAGACTGAATAGAGTAGTTCAATTGTTTGAAAAAATGGCTTATACAAAATTAAGATGAAGTTAGTGTGTGCTGTACATTTGGTTTGTGCCCGTCCGTGAGGTTACATAAAATAATAGCAAAAAATAGAAGGAATGAGGTATTGTCTTTACATTTTAAACAAAAATTATACGCATAAGTGTAAGGGTACATAAGATACGTTGAGTTTTATAGCGTATAACATGAGCTTAATAATGCATGTGTATACAATGAAGTAGAAGTTATAATTAATATTCCAAATAGTAGATTATTATTAATAGAAAATTGTAGCGACATAATGTTGGGGCCATCTTACTCTGCGGCCAGATCTTGTTGTTATCGGAGTCTTGTCTTTTTGTTGAGTTAACGTTGATGATTTTTGGGACTCGTGTTTCGCTGGTGTGACCATCTTAGATGAGTCTGTACTTGTTGATTGATTATCGCTATCGATGAAAGCTGGCTTTACTCGATCGATGCTAATTACATCTGTCTTCCCAGCTTTTTCTATGGTAACCGTTTTATTTGTCCTCTCTATCACTTTAAATGGGCCGTCGTAACTCGGTTGAAGAGGTGGTTGTACTTTATCTCTTCTAATGAATACGTGAGTGCTGCTATGTAGTTCCTGTGGTATGAATACTCGTCGTTGTTGTGGTCTGGGAGGTGTTATTTTTAAATCGCTCATGTGCTTTCTCAGGCGTTGCACATAGCCGGTTACATCAGTCGGGACACTTTTACTTGAAGTGAAAAATTCTCCGGGTAATCGTAGAGTAGTTCCGTAAACTAACTCGGCTGGACAACATCCCATGTCTTGTTTAATTGTTGCTCTTAGAGCTAACATTACTAGGGGAAGTTTATTAGACCAATCGTTGTTAACGATGACGGCTGTAAGGGACGCTTTTAATTGCCTATGTAGGCGTTCGACCATTCCGTTTGCCATTGGATGGTACGATGTCGTTCGGATTCGTTTAATACCGAGGAGTTCTGTAAGCTGCTGAAAGAGTCGACTTTCGAATTGTGCTCCTCTATCAGTTGTGATAATCGTTGGTACACCGTAGTAAGAAATCCAATTTTCAACTAGGGTTTTGGCTACCGTTTCAGCTGAGGTGTCTTTTATCGGTACTGCTACCGGCCATCGTGTAAACCTGTCGATGCATGTAAAGATATAGTTGTATCCATTTGAAACGGGCAGTGGTCCTACAATATCGATGTGTATATGTTCAAATCTAGTGTCTGGGTGCGAAAACGGACCTACTGCAGAGCTAGTATGACGATGTACCTTAACTTTTTGGCACTTCATGCATGCCTGTGTCCAATTACGTACATCGTGATTCATGTTTGTCCATACGAATCGTTCACTAATCAGCTTTATCGTGGCTTTTATTCCTGGGTGCGACATGTTGTGCATGCTTTCGAATATTTTGTGTCGCAACGTTTTCGGGATAAATGGTCGCGGTCGGCCTGTTGATGTATCGCAAATTACTTTCGTGTTACCAAACCGCACCTCTTCGAGTACTAATGATGTTGTACCACCGGATCTGAGTTTATTTAACTCGATGTCTCTCTCCTGCAACTTTGCTAGACCGTTATAATCAATTCCACTTGCCATAAGTGTGCTTATCGTTGCTCGTGACAATGCGTCAGCCACATCGTTTTCTTGTCCTTTAACGTACTGTATGTCGGACGTGAACTGTGAAATGAACTCTAATTGTCGGATCTCTCTCGGGGAATAATTGTCTTGCTTTGCACTTAACGCTTTCGTTAGTGGTTTGTGGTCTGTATAGACGGTAAAACTTATGCCTTCGACCATATGACGGAAGTGTTTTATTGCTAAGTAGATTGCTAAGAGTTCTCTTCCGAAAGTACTATATCTTGTTTGTGTCGGATTCAGTCTTTTCGAAAAAAATGAGAGCGGTTCCCATATGCCATTTACTAATTGTTGTAAAACGGCTCCTACCGCTACGTCTGATGCATCCGTCATGATAGCTAACGGTGTTTCGCTCTTTCGTCTAGTTAGTGTCACTTCTTTATTTAGTGCTTTTTTAGCGTGCTCGAATGCTTGAATCGCGTCTGGTGATAATTGGAATGTCCGTGCGTGTCCGCGTAACGCATCTGTTAATGGTTGCAATATTGACGCACAATTCGGGATAAATCGTCTGTAATAATTTATTAGCCCCAAGAATCTTCGTAATTTTCTTTGTGAATCGGGCAACGGATAATTACGAATAGCAGCAACTTCTGTCGGAACTGGCATGATACCATGTGAATTTATCATATGACCTAGGAATTGCAATGATTCCTTTCCAAATTCACACTTTTCCACGTTAATAGTGACGCCATGTTCTTGAAGTTTCGTAAACAACTGTCGTAGATGTTGTAGATGTTGTTCCCTGGTAGAGCTAGCTACTAGTATATCATCGATATATGCGTGAACTCCTGTCAAACCCCTGACGACCTGATCGATGAATCTTTGGAAGGTTTGGGCTGCATTAGTTAATCCGAAGGGCATTCGCAAAAACTCGAATAACCCAAATGGAGTAGTTATAGCCGTTTTAGATATATCTTCTGCCGCTACGGGAATATGGTAATAAGCTCGAACGAGATCGATTTTCGAAAATATCGTGGCACCTTCCATATTGGTAGTAATGTCGTGGATATGTGGTATCGGATATCTGTCTGCTATCGTTTGCTTGTTAAGGGCTCTATAGTCTCCGCATGGCCTGATTTCCCCATTCTTCTTCGAAACCATATGCAATGGGGACGCCCAGGGACTATTAGAAGGTCTTATGATACCAAGCTTCGTCAACTTTTCGAACTCTCGTTTCGCGACATTCAACCTTTTCGGGTCTAGCCTTCGTGGTCTTGATTTAGTCGGTGGACCTTTCGTTATAATATGGTGCTGTACCGTATGTTTAAGATCTCTGTTATCGTATGATACCTTCGTCAGATCGGCATACTCGTTTAGAAGCGATCTATATGGCTCGCTTTTGTCTTTTGACACTACTAAATTCATGGATGTGTGATCAGTCGTCACTCCTCTTATCACTACTGAATGGTCGCCGTTCACGAGCCGGTTTCGTCGGGTATCCACTAGTAAGTCGAAATTCTTTAAGAAATCAATACCAATTATAGGTACGGATACATCTGCGATAATGAATTCCCAGCGGAATGAGGTAGTACGACCGAAATTCAAGGTTACTTTTCGCTTGCCATATGTTTTTATATCGGATTTATTTGCTGCCTTAAGCGTTAGCGCTGTATCGATATTTCGTGTTTCGTTACTTACTGGAGGCACGACGCTTACTTCTGCTCCCGTATCGACTAAGAATTGAGCGCCTGTTACTCTATCCTGCACGTAAAATAAACGACTGTTTCTAGGAGCTGTTGTAGTTGTTGCGGCGGTTATCGACAATCGGTGTGGTCGTTTGAATTTACATGGTGGTCTACAGTTTCGAGCTTTATCGCCGAAAGTTTGATGGTACCAACATATTGTAGGAGCTGAGCGTCTCCTAGAACGTGATCGACTTCTTTCCCTCAATCTACTTCGTGACCATCCTCTTTGCGTATCGCTCTGATTTAGTTTCGTCAGCTTGTGGCATAAAACATTAATCTCCTTTTGTAATGCATCGATTCGTCCATCTACTGTGGTACTATGCCTTTGCGGACTCGTTTGTTTCATTCTCTCATAAATCCTATCGGCTATTTTAGCAATGTTGTCTATATCGACATCGCTGTCCTCAACCGCAAGGATCTGCTGCACGTTCGCTGGAAGTCGTCGTAACCACAACTGATAAAATATGTTTTTATCTACTTTTCTGTCATCGATTATGCTTCTCATATAGTTTTTTAGTTGAGATGGAGTCCTATCTCCTATCTGCACTTGACTGAGAAGTTGTTCGATGGCTTGCCGGTCGCTTAATGAGACGGCTTTAATCACTGCCTGTTTTAATGCGTCGTATGGCTTTTCTATGTCTGGCTTGATTAAAATCTCTCGTACATTATCTGCTACTTCATCTGGAAGTAGCGAGCTCGCGTGGCCAAATTTATCTCGCTGTGTATGAACACGATTAGCTACAAAGTAATGTTCAAGTCTGATAAACCAAAGTTGAGGATCTGTGACCTTAAAAGGAGGAATAGTTACATTAATGGACCTCACGGACGGCGTTTGGGAAAGTTCTATTGTATCGTTACTTAAAGACATATTTATAAAGATCAAAAATTACACAAATATAATGCGAATGTCACAGAGAAAAGTGAGTCGATAAAAACAATGATAAAAACAAATGGTACAATTTATAACAAAGAACGGACTTACTAAATTGCACCAAAATATCAATTGTTTGTAAAATATCGTTGTTTATTATGAATATTATCGTTATGTTCAATAATGTTTGTGAGATAATGTACGTGTAATTAAAATAATGAGATAATAAATCCACAGTTATAATTATAATCCAAATGATAGTTACAATTGTAATCGAGTACGTTAGATTTTAGGAATTGGGTTATGTCGTTGAAGATTGTTTCGTGTTCGCGCGTCGGGATCGCCAATTATGTGGTGGTCGGTATTCGATATATCCCTTAACTTCGTATACAATTCGTCTTGCTAACCGTTCTGTATAACGCCCCAACGGTATAATAATCAGAAGGCAAATACGAAGTGTTGATTACGTTTATTGCGAGACCACACACATATATCCAAATGTACAAATGCGTTAAATAAGCATAGAAGAGTTGTGCCGAAAGGCAAGCAAGCGAGCGATGGCCAGAGCAAGAGCGTGGTGAGAGCGTGTAAGCGAATGAGTGAGTAAGCGAGTGAGTTCAATATGAATAACATGGACATATATATACCATGTGAAATGAATGGGTAATCGAATCGAATAAGCGGTTAGTAGTAAGACTAGCAGAGTGAATAAATGCGTAGGCAGTAATCAATATTCAAGCATGCGTATTTCATGCGAGCACAAAATAATAAGGGTACAACAAATTGTTATAGTACGGATGGCTTTGTCCGCTAAATAAGTTAGCAAAAGGGCTTAACTGAGTTAAATGAGAATAAACCCATTTGCACGTGAGTCGTTATAGATTCACAAGGATACAAAAAATTCCACTACATTACGTTATCCCAACCCAGTGCATACTCAGCGTTATGCAGATAATTCATTGAGGAGTTGCGATGCAGTTCACGAAGATGGGCACAAGTTTGGGCAATGTTTGTCCTGTGGCAAGTTCCACTCTTTTAATTCATGTAAATTCCGTAATTCTAAGTGCTTTAAATGTGATGATATTGGACATATTCAGTCAGTTTGCAATACTACTGTTCACCTTGATGCAACTAATATTAAGTCTTGTAATTCTGATTCTATTAAGTTGAGTATTTATAATGATCATTTATTTTCATTAACGATTTCAAAAGACAGTGTACACTCATATAGCAGTTCAGAGTTAAATGAAACTCAGAATCCTTGTGAGACAACAGTTTCTAATCAATCGACTTATCAGATTTCTCATGTTATTGTACAAGATGTGGTTTTTCCTAATGATTCACTTATTTCTGACGAAATTGCTTGCAAACTTGAGGACAATATGTTGAATGAACCTAGTCATGATCGAAAACCTGATGTAGTTTTGATAGATGCTAATTTTCTAATGATCCTTTACTCTGCAATGACATTCTTAATAAATTTGAGGAAACTATTTCAGAAGAGTCAAAGCTTGATGTCATATCAAATATTATTTGTCCTGATAATGCATTTCTTTCTTGTGGGAAACTTGTTCAGTGCGAAGCACAAGTACTAAATGAGCTCGAGTTTGATTACGATTTGGATGATTTCATACCAACTTCTGTTTACCCCTATCACAAAGTCACTTCTAGTGTTTACTATAACTAATGTGAAAAATATGTTTTGAATGAAGGTCCATTATTCATAATTAGAGGATATGAGGATCCGAAATTATTTCGTGGGGGAGTATAGTCTATGGTTCAAATTCTAGGTAGCAGTAGTTTCAGTACTCAACGGACATGGTGATTGTTGACAATCCACGAAGCAAGTGAGTCTGTTCCGATTTTGGTTGTTAATTCTAATACTTATGAATGCATTCTAGATAATACGGAGACTTTATCCAATACAATGTCGGACAGACACAGGATGAACTTAAGAAGAAGACGTTCAATTGATTACAGACACCTATACTCCAATTTAAGCTGTGGCGGATGTGGTGTTTGAATGAACTGATGATACCTTTGTACTTGTTGAATACTTGGTGTGGGATTCCAAATACAGTAAATTCGTTCGTGCTTAACGAGTACTTCTTCATCCAATTGCGTTATCTCTCGGATTCTTAGTTCGTACTATAATTCAGATACTCCTAATCATCATAGTCCCAGACCTGAAGACTGAGAATTGCATCCCGTAATTTTATCAATTGCTTGGAGACATTAGCTAGTTGTTTCTAAATGTATGTTAGGTTAACCGTGAAGCATTTTAGTAAAGTTGTCATGGCGCGTTACACTTCTAGAATAACCATACAATCCCATCATTTTGTTCAACACGCTAATGGATTGATTTTAACTGATGGGTTTTACATTGAAGCTCAATACTCTTAGCATGCATTATACCAGTCCGCGTAACCATATGTCTCAAAATGTTTCGTGATACAAGTGTTTTACTCTAAAGTATTAATAAATTACATAAGAATAACAGCCTAAATTATAAAGTAACCCTAGCTGTTGTATAAATCTTGACGACTGTGATGGTTTCAATCATCTAGGTTGCATACTGTCAAAACCTGTATTAGCTTCCCTCATCTACTGTCAATGTGAGTTGTGTGACCACTTCTCTTCATTTATTGTATTGAGTATTAGGTGGTATTGACCAGGGCATACAAACTCCTCTCACCGCTGTTGCATACAAGCAGTAGAGTTCGG